TCCTGAGGGTGTTCTCACTTTTACATTGTTGCCAATGTATCTAGTCAGATTCCTTGGTGATAACCTACGTCTTCCAAAACATCAGATTTATGGAACTAGTAGCATTAATCTACAGTCCTCTAAAACTAGATGCATGAAGCATATAAAATTTATTATGGAAATCCTTGGTAGGATAAACTATAAATAACCAAATTTGAAAAGTTATATTTAGACAGTGAGTTCCATTACCAATACAAATAGGAATTCCTTGCACTTCCACAGCATAATTTTTAATTTCCTTACCCTCTTCCTCAGGCTTATCAGGTCCTCTGTGGTCATGAGAACCAGGTAGCTGCCAGTGGCCATGTCAGAAGAGCAGCAGGTGGCAATTGAAGTTTGAGGTGTCAGCCCACCAGGAGGAAAATCCTTGATGGATGGATGAATCTCATAGGCAAGTCCCCGAGTCCACAGACTCTAGAATGTCTTTTGCTTTTGCTGTGTCTTTACATGTTTGCTGCTTCCATCTTTCTCTGGTATCTGGCATGGTGTGAATGGGTGTGTTTTGCCTATATGTAGTGTGTTATCTCATGGAAATATCCCATTCTACTGGGTATGTTTACCTGTGGATTATTATGAAGATGATTTCTTCTTAAACTGTACTGTCGAATTGATAACAATAATGTTAGTTTAAATAGAGTTTTGATGATTAAAAATATAAATAAGGAAGTGTTACACAGCTCGAACACATGAGTTTCTATTGAGGAGCCTTATAGACTGTGGCTTAGGTTAATGATTAAGAAAAATGATTGATTCCCAGTAGCCCAGCTAGTTTAAATTCTTTTAATCTTAAAGTTGGGAGATGTGTTCACAGGTTTCATAGTGCATCATAAGTGAAACAAATCTTTGAAAGTAACTTAAAGTAAGACTAATATGTTTCTGTCAAATAGCTTTGAGGTGGAAAACCCAAGAAGACAATCTAAAGTTTTAGAAAGGCACATAGTTGAGTGAGGAACTCTTTAAGATCAGGGAACAAGAACAAAGCAGCCCAATTATCATTAACTGACGTGCCTTTCTTGCTAAGATTGGTTGATGACCAAAGGTGATGATTAATTCCTTGTATCCATTTCTGCCCTCAATCTTCTGATATAAAAACTATTGATGAATGGGTATGCACCCTAAAGATTTAAAGTAGAGCTGACTGATTGTTTTTCATGTATAAAAGTTTAGGTTTGTGATTCCTTTAAAATTCTTTGTAAGATTACCTTTCAAGATAAGTAGTAAAGTGATTTAGTCCTTTCTTTTTAACTGCAAAATGCAGCCTGCCAGTAAAAGAATACCTTGCTTGCTCACACTCTGTTAATCTATAACAAGTTGCTTGGGTATGAATGTATGTGGGTTCTTGGGATAATTTGTTTTTCACCTATAATACATAAAATGTTTAATCACATTAAGGGATATGGAAAACATGCTGTTTTTTTACTTGTGTTCATTGCAATCATTCACTTGAAAAATAGGCTGTAACCACATTGTAATTTTTATATTGCCTGAAAGATTTTGCTGTGGTATATAAGCTGTAAGGGAAAGAATAAAGACAGAATTAGAAGGACTTACAAGGAAAACATCAAGAATAAGAAATAAAAGCTGGCTGGTGGCGGCGGCAGCGGCGGCGCACACCTTTAATCTCAGCACTCAGGAGGCAGAGGCAGGCGGATTTCTGTGAGTTCGAGGCCAGCCTGGTCTGCAGAGTGAATTCCAGGACAGCCAGGACTGTTTCACAGAGAAACCCTGTCTCGAAAAACAAAACAAAACAAAACAAAAATGAGAAATAAGGAAGAATAAAGATAGAGTTAGAAAGAAAACATCAAGAATGAGAAAATTAGGGGGAAAACATCAAGAGAGTTAGAAGGAATACAGCAAGAGAGACAGAGGGACATTTCTGGATAGAGATAAGAAAAGAGAAAGGAGAATACAGATGAATAAAGGAAACCATCAAGAGAGCGTGTATGTCTTTCCCCTAAGCCCCTCAGATAAAAAAGTCACAGTAGGCCGACTCTGGATTTCCCTTCAAATTCTGCGCTGCTGGAGGCTGACCCCAGGCAACAAAAGGTAGCTGAGAGGATTCATTGAGCACAACAGGAATATCTCTATCTCCCCAACTTACCCCTTGTTAATTGGTGGATTCTGAATATAAGCACAGTAAGTACGATTCGTCCCTGTTACCTGTACAGTTACCACAGACAACAGAGCAAGGCACCAAGTTGTAGCATTCAAAGGTTTGCTAGCCAGCTCAACTGTTGCTTCCCCTTGTTCAGTCAATTTCTTAAGCTGTCCCATGTAGGAGGACCAGCTGTCTGCTTTAAGGGCTTCCTGTATCTCTTTCTTCCACAACTTTTTGTCTCTATAGAAACATAAGCATAACCTCAAACTCCATCATAACACCTTCCCTGGTTTCCATTCTGATGTTAAAACATCCATGTAATACACAGGCTGACTCAGTCCAGCAGATTTTTATGATTCAATGCCTTTCAGCAGCTGTTGTCTCTGCTTCATTAGTATTTAAAAAATTTAAAGTTAGTAAAGCATTATGTAATCTATCCCTGGGAACCCTCGCATCCCCCTTCTGCGTACAAAGCATCTCTTTTAGAGTGTGAGTGATTAGATACTTTGACAATTGTTTGTCCTGTAGGATTATACGATATTCCTGTAATGTGTTTTATGTTACAATGTGTAAAAAATTGTTTCATTTTACTGGATGATAAGAAGGAGCATTATCAGTTTTAATTTTTATCAGTGTGTCCATTATAGTCATTGTCTTCAATAGATGTGTAATTATACAATCAGCCTTTTCAGAACCTAAGTCAGATGTCCATTGAGATCCAGAGTGTATATCAATAGTATGATGAATATATTTTAATTAAAAAAATTTGTTAAGTGAAATACATCCATTTGTCAAACTTTATTTTTTTAGTGTCCTTAGGATTACTTCCTACAGGTAAAGGAATTTGATTATGTAAAGAACAAGTAGGACAGTTTTTTAATAATTTTTTTAGTTTATCATCAGGTTATGAAATAATTTTCAAGCCTTTACTATTAACATGATGTTTTAATGAAAATTTGAAGCTTTTAATACATTTTTTATTAATAGTTAATTTAATTAAAATTAAATTAAAATAAGTTAATTTCATTTCCTTTTGTTAATACAGTATGAGATGAATGAGTAATATAAAGTGGGTAATGTCTTTCTGAGATTGCCTGTTGCAGTTGTATAAATAATAAAGTTAATTCCAAATTATCAGGAATAAGTTCAGCCATTTCTATATGTGACACAACTCCTTCTGCATGTTGAAAATCAGTAATTATATTAAGATATTCATTTGGGTGCCAAATATTGGGCGTTCTGTGTTGTGTGCGTTGGCAGAAGAAGGAGATCACTCCAAGATGAATTCTTTAGGCTTGTGTGGCAACAGGGAGGAACAGCCTCAAACAGTGATGCAAAGGCATATTTATGTATTGTCACACGAAGTTGCTTTTTGGGTAAACAAGTTCTTCATACTAAAGTCCCTGATCTAATCTATCCGTTAAAGTTCTTCATACCAAAGTCGTGATCTAATATTTCTGTTTTTCTGAAGGAAAACATCACATCCCTGACACTTCAGTCCTTACTGTGTACATTTGCAGTACCCAATAACCCAAGAGCTTCAGGTGTGCCACAAGTGTATTATGGCCATTGTCACACAAAGGCTGTAAAGCTCGCTCAGAAAAGTAATTCTATAAATCATGGAAAACAATCACTGTTTTCCACAATGATTTCTTCAAGGTCAAAATACTTCTAGAAACAACTATATATTCTAATGTTTACCCTAGATACAGTGACTTTGTTAGATTCCTACAACAGAGAGAAAGAGTTGGGGCGGGGGTAGGAAAAGGAAGAGAGAGATAACTGGGAATGGCATAGGCATTATAAACCTTAAAGCCTACCCTCAGTGACACAGCTCCCCCAACAAGGCCACACCTCTTAATCCTTCCTAAACAGTTCCACCCACTGGGGCCAAAGTATTAAAATATACAAGCCAATGCAGGGGGCATTCTCATTGAAATCACCACACAAGGTAACCTTGGACTCACAGAGGGAGCGTTGGACTGTGGTGGGATGGCGCGTGCCTTCTTCCAGTGCTGCTGCCTGTCCCCATTACTCTGAGGAAGATTGTTATAAATGGATCTCTGTTACTGTGAATTCAAGTGGTTTCTCAATATTGTCTCTTCGAATTTCAACAGTCTGGGGCATACCCAGGCCAGATGGCTTCCTTGCTTTTGGGTGTCCCTGAAGCTCTACTTGCAGTGACTGCCTTATCGCCACCAGGGGACACCAGTTCCCTGAGTCTTTCTGAAGGTGATGTGCCCACTTATCCATGATTTGGTGGGAGCGTCCCAAGGGGCAGCTCTTTCTTGGAGTGACAACTGCTTTATCCTGAAGTCCCAAAAGAAAGGGGTGGGGCCAAGAAGCCTTGCAGAGCCTGGCGTTTTTATGATCTTTACTCTATCCTGTAGAATCCCCACCCTGAGCCAGCCCTGGGGACACTCAGCTACAGTGGTATTGTGGCTGTCAGTCTGAAGCTTAGCCCCATAGGGGGCTGAGGGGTAACATTTGAAGGCACAGAGCCAAGTGTCTACCTATGCAGAAGACTTCAGCTGTGGTGGCCAGAGGGAACAGGAGCCAGTGGTGCTGTGGTGGGAGATCTGGTGCTAAAGTGGGCAGGTCATGGTAGAACTGACAGGTAAGAAGAGATCAAAAGTCTCCCGGTGGCTCAGTCTGTGCTCACGGCTCAAGTTATATGGTGGGGCAGGGCGGCCTTTGGCTAAGCCATTGCTGGCCCCTGACCTCTGGTCAGACACACCCACGTAGCGGCAATAAAATCCTAAGCAGCCAGGGTTGGGAGAAAGAGGACCAGGCACCTGGACACTGGAATCCGCAGCTTCTCTACTCGCCTAGAGCTCCTCAGCACCGAGAGGGAGCCCCAGTCATGAAGAGGTGATGCCATGGCCCCTGGGTCCTAACTTTCCTACCCATAAAAGTTGGCAGCTGGGCATTGGCCAGGGTGGGGCTGGCTGTGTGGTTAAGGTCACACTGGGTCTGAATCCAGGAGCTCTGGCTTAGAGATAGGCCCTGGGTGTTAGTCCATCCCCATCTGAAGCTTGATTACAGGGGAGTATCTTAGGGGAAGAAAGGGAGGAAGGAGAGAGGGAGGGAAAGACCCTCTCTTTTCTGTAAAACACCCACCCTCAGGTCTGAAATCCAGGATTTATCTATAATAGCAGCCCAAGTGGCCTCCAGATATGCATGCGGGTGAGTTGTTCCATGGGGTCCCTAGGCCAGTAGAACATTAGATACTAAAGGCCCCCTGGCAAGAGGCAACAATTTGAGGCTGTGATGGCCCAAAAGAAAGGGGACAGTGGCAGGGGAGGGGAGGCAGGGGAATATGTAGCAGGCCTTTGAGGACTGGCGGGAGTATAGGCAGGGCAGGAATCAGGCTAGAGCTTAATTTTCAGGGAGACCTTGGACCCCTGTAGGACCTGAATTATCATGGAGGTAGAGGGGAGAGAGGACAAAAGGCTAGCACGAGGTTCTCCATGTTCATCTCTCTCTGCCCAGCATACAAATAGGCCTCTGTCTAGTGGTTCTAAGGTAAGACAGGGCTACTCAACCCTATCTGGCCAGATCCCCACCTGCTGTCTTTTGACCCCTATTGTAGTAGGAAGTTTTCTCAGGTCCTGCCCGGCCCTGCGGTCCCTCAGTCATTTATAAAATAATCATTCAGAGGCTTAATATTTATTACCAATTATATGGCCTATGGCAGGCCTCTTGCTAGCTAGTTCTTATATCATAAATTAACCCATTTCTGTTAATCTATATTTTGCCATGTGTTCCGTGGCTTTACCAGTCTGCTGGCATCTTGCTGCTCCTTTGGCTGTGGCTGGCATCTCTCTTCCTGCCTGTCTCTTTCCTGTCTCTTTGCTTGGATTTCCCTCCTGCCTCTAAGCTGCCTTGCCGTAAGCCAATGCAGCTTTATTTATCAACCAATCAGAGCAACACATATTCACAGCATACAGAAAGACATTTCTCAGCACCTATCACAAAGTGCTGAATCACAGAGAAGAGAGAAGGATTCTTTGAGGCTTTAGTACACACACACACACACACACACACACACACACACACACACACCATGCACATGATGCATACACATGCATATCATATAACATAAACACATGCATACTTCACACACATGAATATCTTTCTACAATCACATGTTCAGAAATACCTGCCATTCCTTCTGTTCTGCATGATGGGGCTGGGGCTACTGGCCACCTGAAAGCCTACTAGAAGTTACCCCCAATACCATGGGTTGTGGCCTCAGGGGTGTTGTGGCATGGCATTGTGCTAGGGCCTCCATCCATCCTGTCGATGCTGTCATGCATAGGTGTGTGCAGGCCCACATGTGTGTCCTTGTATGGCCTCTGGAATCCTCAGCACTGACTGCCAGTGTCCTGTCACAGTAGGATCTGCCCAGGACATGGGTATCTTGGCCACAGGTGGAGAACTTGGCCTCAAGACATGGAGCAGGAGTGCCCTGAGCATCTTGCTTGCTTATCCTGCCTGCAGGTTCTTTCTTGTGAGATCAAAGTCAAAGTCTACCAATGGATTATCAGGGACCTACCCTTGGTCTCACTCTCCAAGACACATGCCACCAGCCCCAGTAGGTCTTGACTGGAGCGTCAGGAGTTGAGGTGACCCCTCACCACCTCACATTCCTTCTCTGGTCCCTCAGGTTTCTCCTGGCCACCTGTCTGGTGGCTGTGCTGCTGCAGGAGGCAGGTGCAATTCCAGCACTACAGGTATGCAGGGGCCCCTCTACCTCGCCCCATCTCTGGCTGCCAACCTCTGCCCAGTTAGCATGGAGTATTGGAAAGGGCCTCTTTTTCTCCACCCCAAGCTGGGCAAGGAGAGGGGAGGCAGGGCAGAGGCCATGTGGTGAATGTGGTAGCTGCACCATGTGAGCATTGAGGAGGGGCCTCAGGAAGAGAAGGGCATGGACCCTTCTGGGGTCTAGTGGACAAATCTCCATGACACTCAAGGTTACTAGGTGAGGATATGGGCTTCCATAACATCCAAGTGACCCGAAGGACATGGGTCTCCATCACACCCATGTAACCACATGGGGATGTGAATCTCCACGACACCCAGGTGATCCCAGGATGAGGGAACATGGTCCTCCATGGCACCCATGTTACCAGGTAGGGACATGGGTCTCTATGACACTCAGATGACCCCAGGATGGGAGGATATGGGCTTCATGACACAGATTAGAGGTGGGGACATGGACGTTGAAACACCTAGGAAGACCCTGTATGAGGTGAGTCTTCTTCATACTTACCCTGGCATACTCACTGAGGGTGTGGTCTAAACTGGTGACAGAGGGCCCAGTATGAAGAACTGAGCTTGCTCTGGGCCAAGTCCACTCAGTCTGCACACGTGGCTATGAAGGAGGATGGGGAAGGCACACCCTTCTCAGCCATCCACGGTTTCTTAGAGCTGGTCACTTCCGCAGGGTCATCCTTTGCGTCACTTCCCCTGGTACTTTGTCTCAAAGGTGTTAAATTCAGAGGAGCTGACTACCTTCTGGGCCACTAGCCAGGATTTGGGAGGGGCAAGCACAGCTTTAACTAGTGCAAAAATCCGGGGTGTAGTGAGGGTGCAGAGTCCAAGGTGAGCCCCAGGTACCTGCTAAAGAACTCTACTTTCTCCTAAGCTGGCCAGGTTTTCAGGTAGGCTGGCCATTTGGGGACAGGCTGGGGTCCTAAATTCCTTACCTGTAATCCTGATAGCCACAGTGACCTTTATCCCCCTAGAATTAAACACAGGTTGAGCTGAAGCCCTGCCTGTATGTGGGTCTGAGAGTGGCCTCTCCCTGGGTGTCTTCCAACCTTGGGCTACTAACTGGCAAAATCTCCACCTGTGACTTACTCTCCTAGGTCCCTGTCAAGACCAAAGGCAAACATGTGATCCTTGAGCAGGAAACAGAGAAGTAAGTACCCCAGAAAGCAAGTGTGGCCTGGTGCAGTGGGGGATGGAGAACATGGCTGTTCAGAAGCTTTTAGGAGGTGATACTCAAATCCTACAGATGTCTCCTTGGGAGTTCCCTCCCAGGAGCCCCAGGCCATCTCCCACGGCCCCCAAGCCATCTCTCAGGAACTCCTGGTCATCTCCCCGGGACCCCTGGCCATCTCCCAGACTCAGTTCTCCCTGCAGCCTCCAATGAACTAAGTTTTAGAACAGCACAATATATTACCTCCCTTGCCCTTGAGGACCCTGCCCAGGGAAGGCTCTGATCTTCTCAGACCCCACCTCTGCACCCAGTGCTTTAGAGATGCTAGGGGCACAAAGCCATGTACTCGTCCCGGGTCTTACAGGGCAGTTGATAAAGTGGGTGGGTATGGAGTAGCTTCCCAGGTCCATCAGCTGCCGGGGGGTGGGGGGGCAGAGAATGTCTTCTGAAGTGGGGCTGGCCATGTCTAATTCTTCCCACCTGTGTGTGAACCTTACCCTACTCGTGGTGGCAGGGCCTTGGGTGCCAGAGCTGTGGAACCCCTGGAGAAGGACCGCCAGCTGGGGGCACTGCTGCCTGTGTCCAAGGAGAAGCTTGCAGCTGCTGAGGAAAAGCGTTCAGGTCAGAGTGGGACCAAGGCCACATCATGGGGGCCATTTGGACAGAAGGCCAGTGAGGAGGAACTTGTGAGGGAGACTGAGGCTACATCTATTTCTGCCTCTCCCCAGATGCCATGACCTGGGTGGAGACTGAAGACATCCTGAGTCGCTTTCGGAACCCTCACTACGGTCCAGAACTAGATCTTGACAGCCTCCACCATCCGACGTATGAGGAGGTCCAAGAGGAGGAAGTGCCCCAGCCGTGGCCCGTGATGTATCGTCAGGTGCTCCAGGGGCCAGAGGAGGACCTTGACCACATCTTCCACTCTCTGGAGGACTCCGAATAGCTCTAACCACTCTCCCACTCCTGTTCTGAGGCCCAGACTGTTGTGACCACTGACTCCCCAGCTAGCAAAAAATAAACACCTGCAAACAGGTAGAAGCCTTGAGTATCTTTAAGGTCAGCAGTCCTGGGGCACAGCAGCTGTGTCTAGGAGGAAGCAGTATCACTGCCCTACTTATGGCTCACTAAAAGCTTTCTATGGGGCACAGGGTCTAGCTGACATTCAACTCATGAACAGTTCTCCTCCTTGGGCCCATCTCTCTGAATGTGGAGATGAAGTGATATTACATCAGCAGTCAAGTGTGTGGGAACCAGTTGGCAGCAGCCGCCTCAGCAGGGAAGTGAAACCTCTCTGGGAATTCGCACAGAAGAGCCTGAGAAAGGAAATGTCTGATGAATGGGCAAGAGGTTAGGTGGGACTCAGGTTGATGACTGTATATGGTATCACATGTGTATAGGTACACACGTGCACAAACGCACAGCGAAATGTTCAGACACATAGGTACAGGCATGAACAGGTACATAGTTACAAAGATGTATATAGGTGGTGCCCATGTGTAGTTCCATAGAGTATGTAGGTAGTTACACAAGCACAGAGGTATGGGGTGGCAGGTACATAGCTGCATGTGTGCACAGGTATAGAGGTGTGTGGCTGCGCATATGCATATAGATACGTAGGTAAACAGGTCCACACAGATGTAGGTGCTCAGAAGAGTGAGTCAGGACACATACTTTCTGTCCTAGTTTTCTGGGCAGCACTTGGATCTTTCTGGGGTGCCTGTCCACATGGCCTCACTCAGGCCTAAGCACCTAAGATGAATTACTTCACACATGGCATATAGGTACCAGGGTGACTACCAATCCCACCCTTGCAGTGGGAGGGAGGCACTAGGGGCCGCAGAGCCCCACATTTTTCAGCTTAAGAGAGGCCATCAGCTCTCCATCCCAATGCACCCAAACCCCAAGCAGCCATGTAGGTTATTTATTGATCTCACGCACCCGAGAACTCGATGTGTGTCTCATGTCCCCACTCCTCCAAGGACATGAGTGGGAGGAGTGACGGCTCACATGCACCCTGGCCTCTAAGCCCCATGAAGCAGGAGCCAATGCTCCATCTCCTAGATGAATCAGGGGTCTTCATATTACTTGAGTCCACTGCCCCCACACTACAGGTGAGTCCACGTTATAGATAAATCTAGCGTCTCCACATTACAGTCCAGCGTTCCAAGTCCAGGGTCCTGAAGATGAATAGCAAGGCTCTGACAGTGACCTCAGGCACAGTTCTCATCTCAGGGTACTCCGCCTGCCATCCTGGTAAGAATCCGAATCTAAATAAATCTATTCATGGTCCCTTCTCAGCAAAGCAGAGGTGCCAAAATCTTACCCAGGTCCCAGGTAGCACCAAATCCCACATAAGGACACCACGGGTGCTCTACTTTCCCACTTTATCACTTCTGGCCCCTAGCCTAGTCCTGGAAACATGCAGGTCTTCCCATGCACAGCAAATCCTCTCTGGAGACACTCTAGACCGACCCTGGGGTGCTTTATTAATTTTCCAGGCACTTCTTCACCCAGTAGTGTTGACAATAGAGATTATTACCAAACCTTTCAATGGCATTCCTCCATCAAGTTAGAGATTCAGGTGCAGGTGGTCAGGAAGCAGTTCCCAGTGAGCACTCGGTCCAGTGCCCGTGAGGTCAGATCCATGGTTAAAATTTGAGCTATCCCACCTTCACATTCCCCGGATCTAAGCAGAGGACCTGCAGATGCTGGGGTTCCAAGTGCCCGGTGTCTCATTGGGACCAAAAGCATCTACCTGCCCAGGGTATTATTGTGGCCAAGTTCCTTTCCAGCTTTGCCTGAGCCAGGAAGCTCTGTGGGCATTTCCTCCTAAAGGAGAACTGGGGCTGGAGAGAGAGCTCAACCGTTAAGAGCGCTTGCTTCATCACAGGGCCTGTCTACTCACCTGCTCGACTCTTGGTTGTCTGCAGCGTTTGGCTAGTACAGACAAAGCCACTATGAACATTCACCAAGAGTCGGCAGACATGTGGTGCAGACACATCCAAGCACTCAGTAGGGAAACTGTTTCAGGCCCTCCTAAGTTCCTCCCCTCCAATCTTACTATTTCCTTTTGCAATTATGAGCCCCAATTGATCCTTTACCACCTGGGACAACTGAGGATTCAAAGCTGGAAGCAGCCAGGTTGCATCTGAGTTCCAGGGCTTAACAGCTGCTCATGCATACATAGGTAGTGGGTGCTCAACCTGCCAAACATAGGCATGGTGGGACCCAGACCTCTCTGACCTTGAACCAGGGAGGTCAGCATCACCCTCTCTAGCAGCTGAGCAGTCATATCTGAGTGTCAGCACCCTCCCATCTAAAGTGTCCAGCTCAGCTCTGCCCTCTGGCCTAGAACTCAGATTGGCCCTCCCTAGTCAAGAGTCATTGTGTGTTGCAACCCAAGTGGGTAATGCAGAAATTCTCAACCCCCACAAGCACCCAGTGCAGCCACATCCAGCTCCCTGCTGTGCATCTCACCCAACACCAATGACCAGCCTAGCCCTTTGCCTAGGCCCAGGCCACAGCCACAGACCCAATCCAGCTCTCAGGTTCCTACCCAGGCCTAGCTCCTGCCCAGCTCCCAGCCCTCAAAACCAGCCCCATGCTTTATTCCCCATGCGGATTTTCCACCTGAGGATTCAGCAAGGATGGGGAGGGGGTGCTTATTTGGAAGCTAATGGCCTCCCAGAAACTCACCACAAGACAGGTTTCCGAGTACAAAACCTTTAAAGATTGACAGTGATTGCTCTCCCCTCCCCTCTCAATTTCACAAATCAGGGAAGGGGAAATCTCTGTCAGGGTCAGCAGAGTCTCTCAAGATCTGCCAACCTCTTGAACCCCAGGCTGGGGTCCAGGTCTGGGTGCTGTCAAGGGGTAGCTTGCTGATTGGGTTCAGGTGGTCTCTATCAGGGTCCGAGGTCAAGAGTCCCCTTCTTGAGGATGATGTTTCCATAGAGTGCCGTCTCCCTGCGGGAGGGTCAGGGTGCCGAGATTCTAACTTTGCCCTTTTCTGCTTCTGTCCCTCCTGCTCAACAATGTCCTGGAACTCTGCCACCCAAATCCCTCTTGTCTTTCTGGGGAAAGCAGAAGTGGAGGCAGTTCCCAGGGACCTGGATAAGGACTTGCCCAGGTCACCTGGATGCAGCAGAAACTCACCCAGTTGCAACAACAGCAAATGCCTTTTTTGCACGTTCATAAAATTCAAATCTCTCTATCTTCATCAGAGCTTTCTGGAAGACAAAATGGCAAGGTTGGAGGGACCTTGCCTGAAAGTCCTCTGGGTGGACTCCTGAGTTGAGTACCCTATCAGGAAATAGTTAGGAGGTAGCAGCAATGGAACCCTCTGGTCCTCTAAGCGCCATTCCTCTGGTTCTCCTGATGCTGGGGTCTCAGGGAACCAGGGACGAGGGGGCATCTTTCATATCTCTGTCTGAGTCTGTGATGGACAAGGTGCCTGCCAGATGTGGACTCAGCTCAGCCAGGCTCTAGAGCAGCGGTTCTCAACCTTCCTAACGCTGCGACCCTTTAATATAGTTCCTCATGTTGAAGTGACTCCCAACCATAAAATTATTTTCGTTGCTACTTCATACCACTGTTATGAATCCTAATGTAAATATCTCTGTTTTCTGATGACCCACATGTTGAGAACTGCTGTCTAGACCCTCTAAACTGCCCTGGAAGTCCCCTGCCCAGGACAGGAATCCTCAAGTTGGTCCTGCTCAGGCCTGCCAATGGCTCCTTAGGGAGAATGGGTGTGTCTTCTGCCATCTCCATGCCCATAGTTCCTTCTTCCTGAGCCTCCGGGGAGACAGAGGGTCCCATGACTGGGGCTGCGCTCACCTTGCAGTCAGCTTTGAGCAGCAGGGATTCATAACGGTTCCATATTGGGGTCTGCAGGCCCCTCTCCTTGTCACTGGGCACTAGTTCCATGACAGCAACCTGGGGAGAGAGGGATCAGCTCTGTGGCCCTAGGCACCTCCGGGGCTCCTCTGAGGGAGGGTGCCCTTAGGGGACACGTGAAGTCTGGCAAAGAGGAAAGTGAGGCCCAGATCAGCAGCACAGCTTTTGCTCCTCACCGGGCTTTCCACATAGGTGTCCAGGGGCAGCAGCTCCAGCACAGCCTCCAGGAGCTGTGGGATGTCCAGGCCTAGGAGGGCAGAGCAGGGGTCAGGCTTCTGCTCTCACCCTGACCTGTAACCCTACCTGTCTAAAACTGTCATTTGTCAGTCAGCAGCCAGTCCACAGGAAGGAGGGGCCAGGACAGAGAGGTCACAGAATCAGGACGGTGTCCGCCTATGGTGCTCACCATCTGCTCGGATCTCCACAGGCCCGCACTGGCAGATGGAGGAAGTAGGGAAGTTCGCATCTGCAAGAACTGAAGGGAGAGGAGGGGAAAAACGGTTTCCAGTCAGTGCGGTTCTCCCTCCCAGATGGTCAGCTCACATGTCACAAAGCCACAAATCCTTGTGTATTATCAGCACAGTCCACCATGTGGGATGTCCACACGCCCGGCCAGTATATCCCTTCCACTCCAGTTAGTGGGGACAGATCATGGGTCACCCCATTATCCCCCTTCAGAGCAGTAGAAAAAAAAAACCGAGACAATGAAACTAGTGTCTGGGAGGAGGAACCAGTAGTTTCACTCCAGCCTCTGGCTGTCCTGCCTTGCCCTAGGGCACCAAGCCAGGGACAGAGAACAAGGCAGACCTCAGGGCAGTCTGGGAACTACCCTGCTGCTGAACTGGGAACCTGATTTGCCCTTTTCAGAGTTCTGTGGCCTGGGCCAATGGTAGGCCTCAGCTCAGCTCTTTCCTGAATCAGCTGGATGGCTTCCTGTTCTCAAGGGCAAGGTGACTACGGCAGTGTCCCCAGCCTTTCCTGGACCCTGCCGGTCAAACGCTCCCGGTGCGGATCGCACCCCTGCTAAGAAGTCCGCACTGCGGGCTCTCTACAAGCTCACCAATCTCGTCTCCATGCCCCATCCGCGCAAGCGCAAATAGCAGCTCCGGGGACAGCACTTTCGGGATGCCCTTGAGCGCAACCATGGCTGCAGAACGGGTGGTGGGCGGGAGTTGTGGGCAGGGCGGTGCCACATGGATTGGGGCGGGGCCAGAGGAGAGGTGGTTCCAACAGCTGGAGAGCCCTTAGGCGCTTGGTTCTGGGGTGACACGCAAATCTCTGGGGCCTGACAGATTGTGGGAAAGTTCAGGAAGTAAGTCCGTGTGGGAAGGACAAAAATGCCAGATAAGCACCTTCGAAAACAGGTCAGGCACAGCCTTGGCCCTAGGATCTCTGATGCCCCAGCCCAGATGGCCCTGGTATGGCCACTGCTGCCCAACTTGGTGGCAGTGATGGGTGAAGGGTGAGAAGTAAGCTTTCTGCTTCAGTTTGTGAGTGGCTTCATGGGATTAGGGCCTGTACAGGAGGCCAGCCCGTATAGAGGCAAAACCAAACCAGAACTCCTAAATGGTGCTGGGGCCAGAGACCAAATAGTTTAAAATGGCTGGGAGCTTCACCAGGGCTTGGAGGAGCTCCTTTTTGGGGGCAGTCTGTATACATCCCATTGTCTTGAACTCTCTGAAGCCAAGGGCTGTGGGTTCCTGTCCTACCAGGATGAAACCAATGAGAACCCAGCACACACAGGTCTGGGTGTGCTACGCTAGGCCCAGGACTGAGACAGATCTCCCATAGAGCATCTTAAACCCTGTTCCAGCTTTCAGAACAAATGGCTGCAGTATGTGCTCAGTGCACCCACAAAAATGAAACCAACAAGAGGTTGGAGAGACGACTCCTGGGGTTTGGTGGCTCACAACCATCTGTAATTCCAGTTCCAAGGGACCCATTGCCCTCTTCTGGCTTCTGAGTCACCAGGTACATGCATGGTACACAGACATAAACACAGAGAAAACACTCATACATTTTTTTTCTTTTTCTTTTTTTGGTTTTTTGAGACAGGGTTTCTCTGTGCAGCTTTGGAGCCTGTCCTGGAACTCACTCTGTATCCCAGGCTGGCCTCGAACTCACAGAGATCCTCCTGCCTCTGCCTCCCGAGTGCTGGGATTAAAGGCGTGCGCCACCATCGCCCGGCCATTTATACATTTTTTAAAAGTTAAAAACAAATAACCAATGAATCGATTGCCTCAGTTTCAAGATTTCCCCTACTGAGTGGTCACCTCCTCTGCTTGTTCCTTCTAGAACGTGGGTGAAGCAATGGCTAACACACACTTCCCTGTGTTTCCACATTTAATAAGTGAACATTGGGACTGGAGAGATGGTTCAATGGCTAAGAGCACCAGAGGACCCAGGTTTGATCCCCAGCACATGGTGGCTCACAACTCTCTGTAACTCTAGTCTCAGGGAGTCCAGTGCCCTCTTCTTGGGGGGACTGGGCTTCACCAGGAGAAAGGCCCTGAGACTTTGCTTCCAGAATAGGGAACTTTGGTTGAGCAGTGGGTAGTGACCATGCCAGTTACCATGGTCTGGGCTGTGTGTTAACAACATAAAACAAACTTTGAATACTTGGATATGATGTATGTGTTCATCTGGAGTTTAGACAGGCCTCAGCTGTCACCCCTCAAGCCCTCCAACCCCTTGTTTGTTTGAGTCAGGATCTCACTATGTAGCCCCAGCTGGCCTGAAACTTGCTCTGTAGACCAGACTGGCCATGAACTCAGAGATCTGCTGGCCTCTGCCTTCTGAGTCCTGGGATTAAAGACTTTCCTCACTAGGTGCATTTTACCCAAATGCCCTGAGGTTCAGATGGAAACTGCTTCCCTATAGATCTCCATTCTCACACTGACAGGTGCTGAGGGTGCTGCGGAACAGCCCTGACGTCATACTGCCACAGCAAATAGGCAGTCATTTCCCCACACCGAAGCTCTGAACAGAGCAGATTTTGGGATCCTGGGTACATCCCACTGAAATGCTAGGGCTAGTGTGGATGGTCAGCTGTCCTACTCACTGTCCATTGTAGCCCAGACAATGAAAACCTGGGCATGGTCATACGTATTACCTGGCTGGGGGTGGTGGCATACAACCGTAGTCACAGTTATCTGGAAGGCTGAAGCAGGACTGTCTGCACCCAGGAGCTCAAGACAAATATATATTGAGCAATATATTGAGATGGCTTCCAAAAGAGAGATCTATCACATTACTGTGAGAATGGCATGTCCTCATCTCAGCATAAAGCATCAGGCTTTTTCTGTTTTTGTTTTGTTTTGTTTTCAAGACAGAATTCCTCTGTGTAGCCCCAGCTGTCCTGGAACACAGTCTGTAGACCAGGCTGGCCTCGGAACTCACAGAGATAAGTCTGCCTTTGCCTCCCATACTGGGATTAAAGGTGTGAGCGACCACTGCCCAGCAAACATCAGGCTTTAAACAAACGTACTACAGCCTGAACGAACTCAGAGGGTATTTGTCTTAGTTTAGGCTTCAATACACTACAACTTAACGGCTTGCTTCTCGCAGTTCCAGAGGCTAGAAGTTGAAGCAAGGCAGATTTGCTGTCTGGTGAAGACAGACTTCCTGGCTCATCCTCATGCCTTCTCATTTCATCCTCACAGGGAAGGGCTTGCAAGCACTCCCTTGGGGTCTTACAGACCCACTTATGACCCCACTCACCTTCTAGCATTTTAAGACCACCACTTTTAGGATGTCAACATAGGAACTTGGTGGGGGATGTTATTCATTTCCTTGTGCTGGTGAAATAACAAACACACAAAAGAACAAATACTCTAATTCTAGTCATGAGGAGCCTGGAGTCATCACCTTGTCATAGAAAGTAAAAATGCTGGTGCCAGGGGCTGGGGAGCAGGGGAGGGAGTCAGTGTCTGTTGGAGAAGTTTTAGCTTAGGAAGATGAAGTCCTGGAGATTGATGGTGGGATGGCTGCACTCTGATGCGAAAGTGCTTGATGGTGTACTCAGATGTGGTTAAGAGGGTAAAGTTAAAAAACACACAAACATCTGGGCAGTGGTGGCCCACACCTTTAATCCCAGCACCAGGAAGCAAAGGCAGGTGGATCTCTGAGAGTTCGAGGCCAGCCTGGTCTATATAGTAAGTTCCAGGCAGCCAGGGTTACACAGTGAGACCCTATCTATAAGAAAATAACAGCAATAATAATTAGAAAACACATTCATTCTTTAGAGACTACTACAGGTGAGTTGAAACTAAACTGAAGTAGTCACTTTGAATTGAATTATTCTGCACTTGGAAACAGCAGACAGGGCCACTTCCCACTTGAAGCCACACCCTGAGCTGTGCACTGTGGACACTGTGGACAGGGGTATGGGTGGTCCAAGCATGCACCTGTCCCTGAAGTGAAGTAAAAAAAATAAAAAATCAAGACACCTTGAAAGCTTCCCAGATTTCTGATTTAGAAGCCTGTGAAAGATTGACTTCCAACAGTGGTGAAGGTAGCAGGCCACACCACGAGTACCTGAGCTGTGGCCACAGCCCCAAAGCCTGCGGTAGGAACCTCGGCTTACGCTACCCTTCAGGAGAATTTATTTGCCTCTCAATTGACAGGCTGAGCGTTCCTCTCCAGGGTGGCACAAAGCTCAGCTGCCAGCTCTCAGTGGTCTTTGAAGTTGGCCTTCCTCTTCTCCACAAATGCGGCCATTCCTTCTCTCCGGTCATTCTGGCAGGAAAAGGAAGAAGGGAGGTGAAGTTTACGTCTTCCTGGTAAGCCCCTCGGCTGATAGCCTGCATCTTGAGGTAGTCTTCCGTCCTCCTCCTTGCCTGCTTTCCAAGTTCATCGATAGGACGTTTTGATTTTGCAGTGGGTCCACCAGCAGCCCGTGAAAGATGGGATTCCCCACAAACAGTGCTATGCTTGGGGATGGGGGATGTATACCACCCAGGATACAGTCCATTGGGAGCCATGACACGCGCACCAGTTAACTCGTGTTCACAACACCTCTGTATCTGGCAGGGTCTGAGTTGGGAAACTGTCAGAGCTGTGGGGCAGCAACAGAACTCTGCTTTACACCTGCCTCTTCCTTAGCCTGTGGACACACTATGTGCACACACCTTCGATTCTTCCCTAGGGGCCCAAACCATTTAAAAGCTTTTTTAAAATTTTAAGTGTGTGTGTGTGTGTGTGTGTGTGTGTGTGTGATGAGTGTGTGCAGATACGTGCAGGTGCAGCACAGAGAGCAAAGGTGTGATATCATTCTGGATCTGGAGTTGCAGGTGACTGTGAGCCATCTGATGTGGGTGCTGGGAAGTGAACTCGGGTCCTTTGGAAGAGTAGTACATGCTCTTAAATGCTGAGCCAGTTCTCCAGCTTCTTAACTTTTTTTTTTAAAATAAAACACTTAGCACTGGACCAGTGGTACAATGGATAATGCATCTGATGATCAGAAGACTCTTTAAAACACCTAGATATGAGCTTTTGATAAAAGGTGAACTGTAGTCAAACATGGTGGCACACTCCTTTAATCTCAGCATTCAGGAGGCTGGGGCAGGTAGAGTTCTATATGTTCAAGGCCAGTGTGATTTACACAGTGAGTTCCAGGCTAGCCAAGTCTACATAATGAGACCCCGTCTCAAAAACAAGCAAACAAATAAATAAAATAAAATAAATAGGGTTGTGGGATAGTAGTTAGAGATGGCCCAGCAGTTCAAAGTACTTGTTACTCTTGAATAGGATCTGGGTTTGGTTCCCTACACTTCTATGGTGGCTCACCATAGTCTGTAACTTCAGTTCCAAGGTATCCAGTGCCCTTTTCTGGTCTCTGCATGCACCAGACATGCATACAGTATTTTACATACATGTAGGCAAAACACGTATACATAAAGGATAAACAATATTTAGAGATGGTTTCTCTGTGTTGCACAGGCTGGTCTCAAACTCCTGGGTTCAAGCAATTCTCCTTGTCCCCTGGCTCCTAAGTTTTGGGACTACTGTGCCCAGCTATGAATTCCACTTTAAATACAGAAGCTGCTGTTTAGTGGTGTAATTCACGGGGCCCTTTTGCAGTAAGAAATTCTCTACAGCTTCTGCAACAGAAACGAACTCGAATCCTAAGCAGGATATTTGTTACTCACAGTGGCAAAGGTGGAATAGAAGAGCTTCTTCTCCAGCTTATTTCCTTCTGTTAAGGTCATTTCAAAGGCTGAAAAAGAAGCCCTGGAGTTACAAACTGAAGTGCTGAATGTTGGGGCACCCATGCCGGACTGACTGTGATCCACAGAGAGGGCTGCAGGCTATGTGGCCCCCATGCTGATTTAGCTCTCCCCACTTCTCACATGCACGGCCCATATTGAGGTAGCCATGGAAACAAACAGCTCTCTTAGGCCTCCTAAACACCTTCGTGGTAGTCCAGGGCCCTCAGAAGGGAAAAACACCAGAAATGAACAAAGGACAAATAGTAGAATCTATCCAGCTATGAGGACCTGAGGTGGCTGATAAAACTGAACACAGAAGCCCAGTAAAGCATGAATAATGGAGGAGAATGGCTAGGCAGCAGGGACAGCATCTGCTCTGGGCCTTCTTTTCCAATGCAGAACACTGGATGGCTCTTTAAACACCAGCACATCTAATCATGGCCAGCAGCAACCCCGAAGGGCTGGTGGCCCTTCTGGAAGTAGCAGCAACCTTTCTAGGTCACATCTTTTGCCCCTAAGCTGGCTCTACATGTGACACTGAGCAGAAACACAGTGCCGTTCCAAATGCTGAGATAAACTATTACATTAAGACTCCATTCCTGGGGCTGGAGAGATGATTCAGTGGCTAAGAGCACTTGCGCTCTTGCAGAGAACCCAGGTTCCCTTCCTAGAACCCACAGGGAAGTGCACAGCTGTCTGTAGCTCCAGTTCCAAGGGGTCCCATATCTTCCGCTGCACCATGCACACATGTGATATACATACATATATGCAGCCAAACACTCATACACATAAAATAAAAATAAGTAAAATCTTTGAAACAACCACAAAAACTCCATTCAGGTCTTTGTACCTATTTGACAAGCTGGGTATCCCACAAATCCTTGTAACTCCCCCTCTGTTATTACCCTGTAGGTCTTGTACCTGTTGGTCACAAGGTTAAACAGGCTAACTGCTAAGTTCTGCTTTTGTATGAAATACTTGCTTGCTTGGACAGCTGAGGCACCTGCTGGATGTCTGTTACAAAATCAGGTCTCACCTAGAGGAGTCACAGGAGCCAGGTTTGGTCCTGGCCAGTCTCTTTTTAATAAAAAGCCTCTAATTTACTAAAACCAAAACTTGAGTCAGACTGGTGACTCTCTGAACAACCCCAGGCCCTCCAAAGTGAAAGGTACACACACCCACATACATACACACATGTATATAAATTCACACACATGTTAATAAATAACTAAATGTATTTTTTTAAAAAAGACTCCAAACTTGGTGTGGTGATACATATGTCCAATCCTAGCAACTGAGGCAGGTGGATCCAGAGTTTGAGGACAGCTGCAGTTATAGAGTAAGACCTTGCCTCACAATCCAAACAAAGGACTCAGCCAGATGGTTCAGTGGATAAAAGTCCTCATTGCCAAGTCTAATAACAACTGGAATTCAATCTCTGGAACCCATATGGTGAAGGAGACAATTGACTCCTCAAATTATTCCCTGACCTCCACATGTGCACCATGGGATAACCCCTCAATAAATTAAAATGTGAAATAAAGAAATAAATGAGTACGTTTAAAGAGAAGAAGAAAGAAAAGGATGAGGCAGCTCTGAGGAATGAGCTGAGAGCTGATAAAGATGCTTCATATAAGCTGTGCCACTGCAGACACCAGGCTACAGCCCATTTGCATAACCAGAGCATGGGCTCCAGGTCCTCGGAGGCGCTTTCCCTTGAACCACAGACCAGTGACTTCAGGGGCTGTGGCTCTATTCTTGGTCTTGCCTGACACTGCATCGCCATTATGTCCTAGGCCTGGCCTAGTCTTGGGTCTTGGTATAAAGAGATACACAGAGTATCTTGACAGACGTTTGAGTGACCAAAACCTGGAACACTATGGCAAACTACAATTCCGAAAACTTTCCCATTGCTGCCTGGGACAAGGTGGGGTAATCTGGAACCTCACAACTTCATCTATGCAGTCATGTGGACTCTTCCCATTTTCTTTTCCCAGCAGACCCCCTACCTGCATTCACCGATTCTTTCGCCATGGTTACTATAATTTTGGAATTGCTGGCAATTTTTTCTGCACATTGGATGGCCTCTTCAACCAGTGTTTCAACAGGAAAAATCTTGCTTACAAGACCTAAAATATGAAAAGTATGAATAGCATGCAGGAATAGCATCGTCCACTTCCTCTGGAACCCAATGACAACTGAGAGGCAAGTCCTCTGGGGCCTAAACAAGGGATGGCTATCCCTAATAGCGGGTGACTGTGCTCTCCACTGCTAGGTTCCAGTCCCTGAACTCTAAATTACACAGGCCATGCTCTCTACAGGATCAAATGGCACAGAGAACCTGAGGTTTATGGTCACTGCCAAGGGCAGGGGAAGGGCTGGCCTTTAAGGGCCTTCAAAGGGCAGTGGGAAGAGATGTTTTGTTTTGTTTTCTTTTTGGTTTTTTGAGACAGGTTTTCTCTTTAGCTTTGGAGCCTGTCCTGGAACTCACTCTGTAGACCAGGCTGGCCTTGAACTCACAGAGATCCACCAGCCTTTGCCTCCCAAGTGCTGGGATTAAAGGCGTGTGCCACCATCGCCCATCAGGAAGAGATGTTATTATTTCTAACCTAAACATATGTTGCCACTCTCTTGTGCATAACATATTTCAAGATATAAAACCCAATGCCAGAACCTTAGGGCTCTAAGGCCAGTTACCCATGGGGACACCAAATACAGCCCAAGTCTCCCCCAGCTCACAACATTAGACATCACCTGCTTGCTTGGCATCCTGGGCTGAAATGCGGTCACCAGTGAGGACCATCTCCATTGCTAGTGACTTGCCAACTGCACGCGTAAGTCTCTGAGTGCCCCCTGCACCTACAGGGAGAGATTTGTGGTCTTAGTGGCTCTTTGTCAAGTGACATTGAGAAGAAACTCAGGTCTGGAATGCAGCCCAGTGACAGAGGTTTAGAATGCACGAGGTCCTGGGTTCCTTCTCAGCATTAAGAAGGAAGAAATAAAAATTAGATTAGCTCTTTCCCCACCATCCTAGAAGGTTCTAGGTCTCCCTGAAAGCATGTGCTGGACGAAATCCCAGCATCAGTCATCTTCTCTACAGACCTGAATCAAGATATTGAATCCACTGTCCAGGATCTCAGAACAAGCCTGGTCAAACCCAGAGAGCAGTGGAGGCCTCCTCTCTGAGTGCGGTCTCTTTCCTGAGGGCTCAAGTCTTTTCTCTTTGAGTGTTCACCTTCTCCTGCCAGGTCTAGCAGGTGGCCCTCTCTGCTATCCGCCCCCCCCCCCCCCCCCCCAGAGCAATGGGATGCTTTCTCAACATCTCAGAGCTTTCCCAGGCAGTGGGGATTGAGATTCCACAGTCTGATGTGCTGAACTCAGGAAGGCCAGCGACATAGGAGTGTACAGAGCCAGAGTCATATGGGACAGAGTTTTTGGTGCAAGCCCATGGCTACTCATCTTTCTCCCAAGCTCTGGGTGTACAAAACTCTTAAGGGTATATGAATCATGAGCAGGAAAGAACCGCCGTGGCTAAAAGCCAGTGCCCACTCGGTGTGATATTGTCAGATTTAGGATCTGTATATTCATAAGAGCTGGACATGGCCTGAAGCTCTCAGACTGTGCTGAGCTTCATCTGCTCTGTCTTTCGGGTTCTAGTTGGCAGAGAGAAACCTCAACAGACAAGAGCTGTCCATCTGGGGCCTGTGTTTGGATGCAAGCCTTGGTGCTGAGACTCAGGCTTGCCTTGTTACAGCTGACACATTCTCACCTGGGATGGTCCCCAGCAGGATTTCTGGCTGTCCAAACTGGGCTTTCTCACCAGCATAGATGATATCACACATCATGGCAAGTTCACAGCCCCCACCAAGCTGAAAAAAAAAGAAAAATTGTTCATAAGCCGGGGGATTTTACCAGAGGAGCCCAGGCAGAAAAATCATTCTATTTGCTTAAGGAACTTTTCTAAAACCATGAAACAGAGTCAGATAACAGCAAATGTTAACCTAGCAGGACAAAACTAGATTAAAGTGGTAGAATAAATATAAGAGAGATGTTGCTTACCAGGGGCTTGTAGACTTTTATGCAAAGGGCCAGGCAGTAAAGACTTTTGGCTTTGTGGTGAATAACTCAGCCTAACACAGTGACTCCAAATCAGCTAGACAGGACAAGGGCGTGAATGTGGGTAGCTGACCACCCCTAGGGACGGGTTTCACTAAATAATCAGCATGTGTAATAATCACAGGTTTTTTTCCACTAGCCCTGCATTTCTCAATGGCCTAGTGAAGCAGGAACCCTAGTGTGCACACAGACAAAGTACTCACAGCCTTCACACGAGTAGTATAGCCACTGTAGCAATTGAACAGAAACAGAAAAGCTCATTAACACACCTGGGAATTAGTCAATGAGCCTCCATCAAACAAAGCAGTTACCAAAAGACACCATGGGCCTTTTAAAGACACACATCTTTGCTATACTTTATTTACACAAGCATAGTTCCTTCCACCTTGCACAGGAGACCTCTGGGACTGATACTTACAGCATAACCATTGACAGCTGCAATGACCGGCTTCTTGACCCGGGTGATCTGGTCCCAGTGGCTCAGGAACTTGCTGCTGTAACAGTCCTGGAATGTCTGGTTCTGCATTTCCTTGATGTCTGCTCCAGCTTGAGGCAGACAGAAGTAAGGTTCTAATTACCAGACATCAAAGAACTTCTCAGTCCTGTATCCCCATGCACAGGGCCTGGAGGCACTTCCCACAATAGTGGGAATAGCTGATACATGGACCAACAACTCACCAGGCTGTCTGTTATAGGAAGGTAATGTTGGGGATTGCGGCAGGCAGTGGATGCCAGGTACACTCAGAGGAGGCTGGGCTTATGCTGGTTATTTCACCTTACCAGTGAGGACCTGAACATCCCTGAACGTTCAACACACAGAACTGCTCTTCCACACAGCTTACTTTACATGTTAGTATATCCTAAGCCACCCCTCCCATCACTGAGAAACTGGTCCATTTTGCTGCTTTCCACAGGCCACAGCATCCCCCTACCCTCTACCACCATGGCTGCCCAGCACACCTGCAAATGCCTTCTCCCCACCAGTGAGCACAATGGCCCCCACAGCAGGATCTTTCTCAAAGGTCTCCAGTGCTTGGTTGACCTCCTCCATCAGGCCATTGCAAAGTGCGTTGAGTGCTTTGGGGCGGTTTAACTGGATCAGCCCCACGCTGCTATTCTTTCCTTTCTTTTCTATGATGATGTACTGAAAGTTAGCACCTGGGTCGAGAGGACAAAAGTGGATTGTCATCATAAAGATATTAAAGGCACTGTGGTGGCCAATCGTGGTTGTCAACTTGACCACATCTGGAATCAACTAAAACCCAAGCAGTTCAAGCTACCTGTGGAGGATTTCCTTATCTGGATCATTTGAGATAAGAAGACCGGACCCTAAATCTGGTCCACACCTCTGGTGGCAGCCTACATAAAAGTACGTGGAAGGAAGCTTTCTTTTACTTTTTGCCCTCACTCTCAATGGCAAGCTCATCTAATCTATTCTTTTTCCCCCCAAAGATTTATTTATTTATTTATTATATATACAATGTTCTGCCTGCATGTATGCCTTTATGTTAGAAGAGGGCACGAGATCTCATTACAGGTGGTTGTGAGCCACCATGTGGCTGTTGGGAATTGAACTCAGGATCTCTGGCAGAGCCGCCAGTGCTCTTAACCACTGAGCCATTTCTCTCCAGGCTCAATCCAATCTATTCTTAGGCATTCCTTCTCTGGTGTTGGAACCTATTTCTTTGGGATTCCAGTGTACACTGAAGACCCTCAGCTCTCTAGGACTTCCCTGGGCTCCAAAACCAGATTGAGACTGCTGAAATATCCAGTATGTTGGACTGAACACCTACTGAATCCTTGGCCTTTTCGTCAGAGGACAGCCATTGTTGGACTACTCAGACTGAAGCCTGTAAGCCACTCTAATAACCCACTATTAATATATATGTATATTATACATTAGCAAATATAATATATATTCATTCTATCAGTTCTGCTCTTTTACAGAACCCTGGCTGATACAGGTACAGACCGGGGACTCAGTACCATCCTTACTGTGTCAGCCTGGAGCTCCGGCTATGATCTGCCTAGGCATGATGGCAATGGCACACACCTTTAATCCTAGCACTCAGGAGGCAGATGCAGGTGTATCTTTGTGAGTTCCAGGCTAGCCTGGTCTAGTTCCAGGCCAGCTGGAGAGCTACATAGTAAGATCCTGTCTCAAAAAACAAACAAAAATAACAAAAAAGAAAACCCTAGCACAGTCGTCCCCCCCCCCCCCCACACACATCCACACCCCATATGCCAGCACTTTCCAGACCATGACACCAGGTGAGAGCAGGACAGAGCCTAGGCCCTGCTAGAGCAATAAGTCTGGTGGGACAGAGGCTCATGTAAAGCACCATTAGGTGACCTGGAGGAGCAGCCAATTCAGACTTGGGGGGTGCAGGCCATGGATTTAGGAGGAGGAAGATAGGCCTGAAAGTGAGGGTCTGTGTTCTGGGTGTTTTGTTCCTTAACACAGTGCTTGTGTGAAGTAACTTAAGTGAGGTGCACTGTTGAACAGTAGGATGCCTGCCATTCAGTGGAGCCAGGACAGGACAGCCAATCCAGGTTGAGGTGCAGAAGCCCTAGCTAGCCTCAGGGCATGGCCAAGAATTCCTGGTAACACTGGAACACCAGATGGCTGCAGGAGAGTCCAGCCAAGGAGAGAGAAGGCAGGGACTATCTGGCTGGCTGGGAAGGAAAGTGGGTGTGTCAGTATGGTCTTCGCTGATTGGACGGTTCGAAGGACAGGATCAGGCGAGGGCAGTGGACCAAGAGGCACTGGACAGGAGGCCCTGTAGGCAAACCTTCCCCAATACTCAGATTGCCTTGCTTAACCTACCTTCATAGTCTCTTAAAGCTACCTAAATGCACATGGAGTTCCCAGCTGGCTAGAGGTCCTGGCCCTTAATGAAGTTCTAGGGTTGAGAAGCTGCCATTACAGCCAAGACCCTCCCGACAGACAGGGCTTCTAGGTGCTAAGCTCGGGTTGGACTTGTTAGGTGAGACTAAGATCAGATTAAGGGGGGTCAGGAATTGAGTGGGGTATGGAATTGGGTAGGGGTCAGGCGAGCAGTGGAGGTGGGGGCTCCGAAGGAGGGGCAAGGGTGGGAGGAGCTTCAAGTTAGGAATCTGGGTTTAGGTGTGGGGATTGAGTACTCGAATCCAGGGTCTAGGTACTTCCGAGTCAAGCGTCGGGAGTGCATGCTTGTGGAAGTGGAGGTCAGACAAATGATCTGGAGTCAGGAGAGACGGTCCAGGATCAAGTGAGGGTGCGTGGAGGCTGGGGTTTAAGAAACCAGCCGGAGGCTCCGAGGAGAGAGTCCACCCAAAGTGGGGTGACGGATCCCGCCGGCGTGCGCACTCACCCGAGGCGAAGCGCCGAAGTTCTGGGTAGCGGACCGAGGACAACAACGAGCTGCAAGCTCGGGGCAGCAGAGCACGCAGGGCCGCCATGGCGTAGAGACACTAGTCCCGCCTGCAGAATCGCCCCGCCTGCAGAATCGCTCCGCCCCAGATCCCAAGCTAGCCGGAGACGGAAGCCGAAGGGGACAGACGGGTGATGCCGTAGGCAGGGTGGGGCGGGGTGGGGAGGATGGTCGCCGATGCAGGGCTGCAGTTCTTTGAGAAGGCTGCTAATTGCTCCGCGTTGGTGTTGTGCCCAGTACCAAGGGACAGGCTGGAAGAGGCAGCTGTGTCTTTTCCCCTGCGCTGGCCGTGTGCTGTCGGTCTTGACCGCTGGAAGGCGTGATTGTAGATGGAGCCGTAGAGCGTAAAGCGGTAAAGTGAGAGGCGGTTTTGTTTAGTTTTGTGACAGGGTTTCACTACATAGCCCTGCCTGGCCATGTGGGCCAGGCTGTCTGCTGGTCTCACAGAGATCCGCCTGCTTCTGCCTCTCAAGTGGGGGGGATTAAAGGCGTGTGCCACCATACTCCGCTTGAGAGGAATTCTTTACGTGGCAGCTAACTAGCTTCATAACACCAGGTTAGGAATAGCTGTGTTTTTACAAGATGGGAAGATTCGCATACATTTAAAAGAAAGCAGAGGTTTTGTTCACGTAAATTATCTTGAATTATAACTTTGAAATATTTAGCAAGTCTTAATTAGGTCTTTATTTGTATTCTTGCCCTGGTCCTGCAAACACTGGGATAGCATCTACAGACAAAAGCAAAATTGATAATGTAAAGAAAACAGTTCAAACCAAGAGAAAGTCAGCAAACTTTATTTCAAGACTAAGGTAGAATAGAAACAGAAACAGATCACCAACAAACTTTTGCTGATGAGGGGCTTTATACAGGCATAGGCCAAGCTACTGTGACAGTAGTTCCAAAATGAAGTGGCTCAAACACAGGGGTTATCTAGCAACGCAGGGCTGGTGTTAAGATCTGTCCTCTGAGTTTAGGGACAGAAGAAGAGTGAGAGTATTGTATTTGTCAGGGTTCTCTAGAGGAATAGAACTGATAGAAGGTATTTCCCCTGGCTTCTTACATGCATGGGCATACCTGGCCTGAGAGGAGAGATGCGGTATCATATGTGAGGGTCACTGGCTGGGTGGGGCCTGAGATGACTTCTAGACACAGATCGACCCCAGTATCCAGGTACTTGGCACCTGCCTATAAAACCCTTGGTGGTTCTGTGGGCTTGGAACCCCTGATCACAAGGGGTCTGCTGCATATGACCCCAGGTTAAAGAGGCAAAATGAAACAGTCTTTCTTCAGCAGGAGGCAGGATGATCACACTGCTTCTGCCTGTTCCTGGGGGAGATTCCCATGAGAGAAAGGGGAACAGTTTCTGGGGTACCTGCCTGGAGGAAGGGATGCCCCCCATGTCTCTCAGGGTTCCCTGTGCATTCTGGGGCTTGCAGGCTGTGGTCCAGTTAGTCCAACAAAGACTGTCTCCTGAAGAAAAGTTCAAGAATGCAGTACGTGTTCAGTCCATAAGACTGGAGGGCTCAGCTGGTCAGCATAGTCAGAATCCAGAAGAAGTAGGCTCTAATATCAGTGAGGGAATGCCTCAACAGCAGGATATATGAACTGGCCAGTGAGAGTGAGGGTGAGCAGGCCAAAAGCAAAAGCTTCTTTCTTCTATGTCCTTTACATTAGGCTGCCACAAGAGGGTGTGGCCCAGATTTAGGGTGGTCTTCCTACTCAAATCATCCAGTCAAGGAAAATCCCTAACAGATGTGCCCTGTGATGTAGTCACATTGGCAAACAAGAAGAGCCATCACAAGTATAAACTGGATTCCACCAAAAACTCTGTTTCAAAGGAAACCATCAAGACTGGGGACACAAGACACGAGCAGGATGAGAGAAAACTCTCTGCAAGTCTTACATCTGGTGAAGGCCTTGTGTCTAGAATATCCAACACACTCTCACAACCCAATAGTAAGAGTCAATTGAACTGTAAAGAATGAAGGATGAACATGCATTTCTTCAATAAAGATGTACTGTCTGAGGGATATGAGAAGATACTCAACACCATTAGTCATTAGGGAAATACAAATCAAACCCACTTCATACCTATAAGGCTGACTGTAACAAAAAGTTAACAGTAAGTGTGGGAAAGCATGTGGAAAAGTTGGAGCCTTCAACATTGGTGGTGGTGTGGGGAATCTTTCTGGAATAAGCACTCAGACACCAATGAAAGTGGAAGAGAGGAGATGTCACCGGTGGACTGAAGCCAGGACGGCTCCTGAAAGGCTTAGAGCCAGGTCCAGTTTGTTTTCGTTTTATACTCTAAGACCACGGGGGGGGGGGGGGGCGGGGGTGCAGGCAAGCAATCGAGCTTTTACAGAAGCCTATGTGGCAGTCAGCAGGTTGTTAAGGGGAATGACCCATTGTTTCAGCGATTTCTCTAGGTCATTCTGTTCCAGACAGCAATTGAAGCATGCTTGGCAAATAGGCAATACAAGCAATGCTTTATGTAAATCAATAAATAAATCACTATATCTAATAGTTGGTCTTTCCTACCTCATTCAACTTCAGTGGTGGGAGTACAAATTGGTGTGGTCACTTTGCTTTTGTGAGGTGTATGTGTGTACATGTTGTTGGAGATTGAACTCTGGCCTTGCACAACATAGCCACAAGAATGGCCACTTTGGAAGCCTGCCATTGTCTCAAAAGTTAAAACATCAAACCAACTTCTAGGTGAATACCCAAGAGAAATAAAAACACAGCCTCATAGCAGCTTGTAGGTACATAAGCAGCATTAGTCACAAGGACCAAAAAGTGGAAATAGCCTAAATGTCCATCAAAGATCCTATGTCTGTATAGTGGACACCTTAGATTTTTTTTTTTAAGACAGGGTCTTCTATATAACCCTTGCTGGCCTGGAATCTGCCTATCTTTTGTAGGTGGATTTTTTTTCCCTGTCCCTCCTGCAAGCTCCCAAATCACCACATGGAGACTTATTATTCATTATGAAAGCTTGGCTAATTATGAAAGCTTGGCTGATAGCTTAGGCTTGTTACTAACTAGCTCTTACAACTTAAATTAACCATTTTTATCACTCTACTTTTTGTCTCGTGGCTTTACTCTGTACTGCCCATGTTGCTTCTCTGTCTGTCTGTCTACTCCCCCTTTCTTCTTCCTAGTGTTCTCTGTGCCTGGAAATCCTAGGTACTGGATGTTCAGCTTTTTATTAAACTAGTCACAGTGACATTTCTTCACACAGTGCAAAGGAATATTTCACAACAGTCTTTGTCTCACAAATGCTGGCATTAAAGGCATGTGGTACCACACTGGGCCAATGGATGCCTTTTAATATGTTAGAATATACTGTGGAAACTGAAGGTACAGCTCAGTGGTAACATTCTTGCCTAGCGTGCCCAAAGGCTTGAATTCCACCCCAATATATGATGAAAAGGAATAAGTACTGATACGCAATGTAATGTGGAAAAACCTTGAAAGCATCATGATCAATGACGGCCATTCACAAAGGCCTCATCCTGTCTACCTAACTCTTCATATGAACCATCCAGAATAGGGCGATGAAAACATTTTGGACTTTGTTGTGGCTGTACAACTCTGCCAGTATGCTAAAAGCCACTGGCTTATACACATCATGTGGGGGAAGTACATGCAAATTCTATATTGATAAGTCTTGCTTTGAAACAAAAATGAACAAGCCTGATTTGGTTAAGTCACATAGGAGGTATCATCTGTGGTGTCAGACATGGCCCTCCTGCCTTCGGACGGACAAGCACGTGACTGTATCTGCCTAGTCTCCAGTGGTCTGTTTATGAGTATGTGACTACCCCAGCTGCAGGGCAGCCTTTAGATTAAGACTGTGGTGCTACATCTAGGAGACAAGAAACACTACTGTCCCTGCCCTGTACCTCTGGAGGCCCAAAGTGTTATCACCCGGCACTTCATTCAAAATTTCTACTACGCCGGGCAGTGGTGGCGCATGCCTTTAATCCCAGCACTTGGGAGGCAGAGTCAGGCGGATCTCCGTGAGTTCAAGGCCAGCTTGGTCTACAGAGCGAGATCCAGGACAGGCACCAAAGCTACACAGAGAAACCTGTCTCAAAAAACAAAACAAAGTTTCCACCTCAATTTTCCTGTATCCCAAAGAAATTAACATAGGAATTGGAAAATGAAAAATAGATGTATTTGCAGACTATGCCTCTCCTGTAGCAGGGTTACAATTGCATAGGAAAGGTCAGGCATGGTGGGGTACACAGCAGCCCCACTAGGGAAGTTCAGGAAGGAGGGTCAGGAGTTCAAGATCAGTCATGCTGACATAGCAAGTCTGAGGCCAGCCTGGACTATATAAGCTCCCCCTTTAATCCCGCCCAAACAAAAAAAAAAAAAACCAATTTTATAGAAAAGATGAAAGAGAAACCAAAAATATACATACCAGCTGAGACAGGCTAACTACTCAGTCTGTGCTTGAAGGCAAGGGCACTGGGTCCCAGGCTGCTCTGTTCACAGAATTTTTAAAGATCTTTTATTTATCTGTTAACAGTTTCATAGTATAAATGATGTATCTTGATGATATCAATCCCTAACTATCTTTCCCACTTCCCCAAGCACCTTCAACGCATCCCCCTTCATGGCACCTCCTCCTTTTTGCAATACACTGTGTCCAATTAGTGCTACCTGTTAGAATGTTGATAGATATTGGCTTGATCTTGTGTAGGTCATCATTGCTGCAGCCTGTTCATGAATACAGTGGCCATATAATGTCCAGAAGACAGTGTTTCATAGCATGCCTCTGGTTGTTACATTTTTTTTAATTTCAAAAATTTTATTAGCTTTTAATTCATGTGTGTATGTATACCATGTATGCATGGGTGCCCACAGAGGCTAGAAGGGAGAATCAGATCCCCGAAGCTAGAGTTACAGGTGCTTGGGAACCACCTGATGTGGGTGCTGGCCTGGGAACTGAACGCCAGTCCTCTGGAAGAGCAATATGTGATCTCTGGCCCCCAGGGCTCATATGTTCTTTTCCTTCCCTCTCCTTGATGTTCCCTGAGCCGTGGGGGTGGAGGATGATACAGATGCTCTATTCAATGTTGTCACTTATTCTCAGCACTTGGACTGGTTGTGAGTCTCTGCATTAATTGCTGCCCACAGCAGAAGAAACATCTCTGGTCAAGGTTGAGAGCAGCACTAACCTGTGAGTAAAAACATAAACACAAGCCAGGCAGTGGTGGTGCACACCTTTAATTCCAGCACTTGGGAGGCAGAGCAGGCAGATCTCCAAGTTTAAGGCCAGCCTGGTCTACAGAGTGAGTTCCAGGACAGCTAGGGCTATACAGAGAAATCATGTCTTGAAAAAACAAAAACAAAACAAATAAAAAAAAACCCCAGACCAACCAACCAAACAACAGAAAAAAACAACAACAAACAACCAAACAGAAACATTTAGAAGGCAGTTTGACAACATGGAGATTAAGCAAGATGGCAGTAGGTCCCTCCTTCCCACCTAGGGCCCAAGACCTGCTAAACTTTAGATCTGGTTTACCGTAATAAGCATGAATTCTCTCCTTTGGAGCAGGTCTTTAATCTAATCCAGTTGGTTATCTTTATAACCTTTGTGCTCCTATTGGGCCAGTGGGCACATCTTGGCAGTCAGTGTTGTAGTATGTGGGAACTGACACTGTAATACCATTGATGACTTTTCTCCTACAGCAGCAAGCACAGCAACTTTTGACACTATGAAAACCAGCCAGCAGGAAGGACGTTTTCGCATCAGTTCCAACTCGATTTTCTATGTCCAGTGAAACCAAGTTGTTAACAGAAGTTTTAAGACTGGGTAGAGGAAAATGGTGGGTATTAAAGACTGGCATTTTGAGTGAACCAGGCCTGGTAGAGTTCTTTGTCTCTAGGTCCATTTCTTTGATAGATGTAGGGTGGGATGCCTTTGCTATCTTTTCTTTGGAGGTCAGCTTCAGCTCCTGACTCCCAAGAGCCTGTTAAACACACTAACTGTGCAAGTGAACAAGGGTGATGTTCTAAGAGCTGAGTGGAGAGCACATACCACCTGCTTTTTAGAATATACCTTCTCCAGAAAGGGATTCACGCATAGGATCACGATTCCCATCCCTGTCAGAGCCATCACCCCTTATCCGTAGCATACAACTGGTTTTATTTCCCTATACCACTTCTACTTGCTCTCAGTGGGCGGACTGAGTGAATGGGGCAAAGACATTTTGCCCCTCTGTTGTTTGCTTGTTTTTTACTCTTTTGGGCGGCCCAACACCCAGCTCTAAATAATAAATCACGCATGGAGGCTTATTCTTAATTATAAACACTTGGACTTAACTTGGCTTGTTTCTTGTCAGCTTTCCTTAATTTTAAATTATCCTATCTTTTGCCTCTGGGATTTTCCCGATCTCTTACTTCTGTAAATCTTACCATGGCTTGCTGTGTACCTGGGTGGCTGCCCCCTGATGTCCTCCTCTTTCTCTGGCTCTTTCTTCTTTCCTCCCAGATTTCTCCTTCTATTAATCCTCTCTGCCTACCAGCCCCACCCATTTCTCTCCCCTGCCTCACTATTGGCCGTTCAGTTCTTCATTAGACCATTAGTTGTTTTAGAAAAGTAACACAGTTTCACAGAGTAAACAAATGCAACATAAACAAAAGTAACACACCTTAATATTCTATAATACCCCTTAGCCTGTGAGTGCTGCTCTAGCAGAGCTTGGCCAGATCAGTGTTCTCAGCTTAAAGGATCCCTGTCTTCACGCAGCAGGTTCCTGTGAGCAGATACTCCAGTAGAAAGGTGACTAGAGCTATGGTGCACTCTCTGCTTATAGGAGCCTGGAAGGATGCCTCTGGAAGACCAAGTACCCTTGTAGGGATGCTGGCTCACATTGACCCATGGCAGCCACACCCACACCCCTCTTAAGGCGACTGTGGGCGGATCCAAACAGGAAGGGCGCGGCTCAGAGCACCTGGAGCTTGGGCGCATCCGGGAGCCACTAGCCTACGTGGATCACACAGTGCTGACACAGTGCAGGCCACGGGACATCCACCTCCCTCTCTTCGGGTCCAGTTCCGAATGTTCATCAAGGCTGCCCGGACCTCGCCTGCCGTCCGCCTGGTCCCTCTGGCTCCCCATAGGCCCCACCCCTCACCCCACCTCCAGTCCCACGCACACTCTCTTGCTCCTTCTCTACATAGCTCCACCTAGTTCCCCGCCTCTGGCCCCGCCCCGCCCGCCTCCGCTGGGGCGGCCTAGGGCCACCGGTCGCTGGAGGACCCTGAGCAAGCTATGGCTACCGGCGGCCCGCGGGTGCTGGTGGTGGGAGGCGGCATCGCTGGACTGGGCGCTGCGCAGAGACTCTGCAGCCATCCGGCTGCTCCACACCTGCGGGTCCTGGAGGCCACTGCCGGCGCTGGGGGCCGCATCCGCTCGGAACGCTGCTTCGGTAACCGCCCCTTGGGCCCCTTGACCGACCCCGGACCCCATCGGACTGGTACTGATCCAGGAAGCTTTTTCAGTCTCTTGGGGTAAAGGAACACACACCCACGTTCACCGGACCCCGAAAGTGAACTGCCCAAAGCTAGGAGAGTACACACCAGAGAAGGCAACTCTGCAGTTTCCTTGCTCAGCCCTGGGGGTTCCTCTCGGTTTCTCTTTGAGTGTCCTCCGAAGCCGGTACAGGCCGACTTGCCTCTCCCCAGGATTTCCCTAAGTTTGATCTGGCCAAGCTTTGCCTTTGGGAACCACTTGACCCTGAGGGCTCCTGAGGTCCTGGTATACAATGGGACCGTGTGACTCTCAAGATGTCCTCGAGAGTATGCTTGGGAAAGGGTGGGGCTGATTTTTCTGGAGAGGGAACTTACAGGTAGCATTTCCTGTGCCCTCCTAGGTGGTGTAGTGGAGCTGGGTGCACACTGGATCCATGGGCCCTCCCAGGGCAATCCTGTCTTCCAGCTGGCTGCGAAGTTCGGGCTCCTGGGGGAGAAAGAGTTATCAGAGGAGAACCAGCTGGTGGAGACAGGAGGGCACGTGGCCCTGCCCTCTGTGAGCTATACCAGCTCTGGAACATGTGTGATCCCGGAGCTGGTGACAGAGATGGGCAATCTGTACTATGAACTAATAGACCGAACCAGAGAGTTCCTGAATGCTCCTGAGACCCCAGTGGCCAGCGTTGGAGAGTTTCTGAAGAAGGAGCTAAGTCAGCAGGTGGCTAACTGGATTGAGGATGAGGACACGAAGAAACTCAAGCTGGCTATCCTGAATGCCTTCTTCAATATAGAGTGTTGCGTGAGCGGCACCCACAGCATGGACCTGGTGGCCCTTGCGCCATTCGGGGAGTATACAGTGCTGCCGGGACTGGATTGCACCTTGGCTGGGTATGGGTCACAGCTCTGCCCACTCTGCCCATCCTGTCTGGGCAGAGGCACTAGGCTGGAGAAAGGAGGGAAAAAGGAGAGAGAGGAGGCCCGGAGTGGGCAGGTGAGGGAACTGCCCTCCCCATTCAGAGAAATTGGTTGCTTTTTCTCCTAGTTCTGTTTGTTTAAGCAAGAATGTTTCTAGGAAATTGAGAAGGAAATATCTCGAATGCTCATTTCTTCTGATTTCCTGGGGCCTCTAATGTGCCAGGTGTTACACAAGGGGGCTTCAGGTACAGAGGAGCTAGAAGGTTCCTCCCCTATGGTAGACAGGGCTGTGCCTGTTGCCAGGCACATAAGCATTTGGCAGGGCTGGTCCCCACTCCCCCCATCAAGCCCAAGGCTTCTTCTGTTCAGCTGGTAGGCATTTGTGACTCAGGAAGTGCACAAACATCGGGCTGGTGTGGTAGTGGGGAGCTCTAATTCTTATGTGACCCAGTCACTTTTGTGACCCTCATTAGCCAGGAAGTAGATGTTAAATGGTCTTGTGTTTTAAGGGATTGCCCCACCAAGGCACTCTGCCTCTGCCTCCCTTTCTGGCTCTGAGTGATGCTCCCATTGAGACTGGTGGGTGGCACCTTGGATGGCTTATTTCTGCCATGGCTACCCTTCCAGGGCCTGGTTCGCCACATATCGACTTCTGTCTCTTCTAGTGGTTACCAAGGACTTACCAACTGCATACTGGCTTCCCTGCCCAAGGATTCGATGGTTTTTGACAAGCCGGTGAAGACCATTCACTGGAATGGGTCCTTCCAGGAAGCTGCTTTTCCAGGGGAGACCTTCCCTGTGTTGGTGGAGTGTGAAGATGGTACCCGCCTGCCTGCTCATCATGTCATCGTCACCGTGCCCTTAGGTAGAACTCACTTTTTCTGATCAAGTTTTCTGTCTCTATCCCTACCCCAGGCACCCGTGGCCCCTGGTTTTTCCTACCCTCCCCTGGCTCTGGGTATTTGCTCAGCTGTTGACTTCATGTTTTCATCTAAGGATTTTCAGATGGATGAAAGTACTCTATTACATTTTGTAGCACTGAGTGCTGGGGTTACAGGCATGAGCTGCCACACCTGGCTAATAGTTTCTTGTGTAGAGATGTCATTATTAATAAATACTGGTGGGAGTTTAGGAGTTCTCACTTCCCTGTTTCACATGGTGTTTACATGTAAATTTCCAAGTGCTTCTGTGGCTACATCTTCATAGATTGAGGAACAGTTTGTTCTTGAAAACCTAGATAGAATGCCTCCTCTCCCATGCCCGCTGTGTATGGGGAAATTGTCCCTGTGCCTGCTCGTGGCCTTGCTGGCTTCCTGTTCTACTGATTTCCTTCCTTCCTTTTTTAAGTTTTAATTTTTATTTTGAGACAGGGTCTCACCATGTAGCCCTGGATGGCTTGGAACTCACTGTGTAAACCAGGCTGGTGTCAAAAACTCAGCTCTACCTGCTTATGCCTCCCACATGCTGGGATTAAAGGCCTTGCCCTTCCTTTCTTACTGGCTTCAAGCAAATGTTCTCTCCTCTGCTTTGACTGTTGTTTGACTGTGGGCTAATTTTTTTTTTCTATTTAGACTCATCTAAGTGTGTTCAGTGACAGAGTGCTTGCATGTATGAGGCCCCGGGTTCAATTTCTACCACAGTAAAAGGCAAAACAAGCCTTCTGGGTGAAATTTGTGTGGTGACTACTACAGACTGACCCTGAGCAGTGTGACTGGCAGTTAGAAGTGGAAGGTCAGGAGTGAGATGTCCCCACAGAGTCTGTAACGAGGGGTCTGTAGTACCCCTCCAGTATTTGGTAGCAGTCAACCTTGAGTCCTGATGGTCTAGCTTTTGGAATTTGTCTCCAGGGACCTGAATGAATGTATGAGATGCTTAGAAGCCCTTTGTATAATCAAGTCAGGTTCCTGTTGATGGAGATTCTAGTTAAAACGTAACTTTTTGCTGTCCTGGAACTCACTCTATAGATCAGGGCAGCCTCTAACTCACAGAGATCCTCCTGCCTCTGCCTCCCGAGTGCTGGGATTAAAGGCATATACCACAGGACCTGTATCTTAAACCACATCCAATTCTGAATTGCAGGTTTTCTCAAAGAACATCAAGATACCTTCTTTGAGCCACCACTGCCTGCCCAAAAGGCAGAAGCCATCAAAAAATTAGGCTTTGGTACCAACAACAAAATCTTTTTGGAGTTTGAGGAGCCCTTCTGGGAGCCCGACTGCCAGTTCATCCAGGTGGTATGGGAGGACACATCACCCCTACAGGACACAGCCCTCTCACTCCAAGACACCTGGTTCAAGAAACTCATTGGCTTTGTGGTCCTGCCTCCTTTTGAGTATGTATGCATCAAGGAGCTCTAGGGAAGCTCTCACCTGCTTACTCACCTTAGCCTGTCGGAGGACCCAGCTGTGTGTGCTTCATTACCGGTGTTTCTGAGGGCTTCACTGGAGGAGGGACAACAACCAAGTGTTGGTTACGTACTGCAGCCTGGCTCTCTGAGAGACCAACGGGGGCCTAGAATGTGTTCTTGGATTCCTGGAATGTCTGTTCTTAAAAAAAAATTGAAATTCTGTAGGAAGTTGTGATTTGTAGATAGAAAGAAATTTGAAGTATGGATCTGTCTATACCTGGAGAAGTAGTACTTAAATGGGATGGAAAGACCCTTCTACATACGGAAGCAGAGACCCACAGTTAACCAGGCATGGTGATATACTCCTGTAATCCTTATACTAGGTAGGCTGAGGCAGGAGAACATGAGTTTGAGGCTAGTCTGGGCCATATAGTGAAATCCTATCTACAAAAGATAGACAAGCCCCACAGATGAAGGTCTCAACTTATGACTCAGCCATCCTATAAAGCAGTGTATGTGGACTAGGTACTAATTCAGGAAGTACCACCATGCATGGTCTCAGATGGGACTGATTCTGATAGCATCAGAACACACTGAACTAATGTGGTGTGGAGGAAGAAGTCCACATTCCACTTAGAGACCTGGCAGGAAAGGGCCGTGTTCTTAGCCTAAAAGACTAAGTGGCAGCAGGATCCCACAGCTGCAGAGCAGCCTTCTTCCTGGGAGGGAAGGAGGGAAAGAGGGAGCCATTTCACATGAGTGTGACTGACTTTCAAGGAGTGTGGAAACAGGCCATGGCTGCCGTGGACTTAGACTCCGCGTCCCACTAGCATTGAAAAACAACATTTTTTGAAAAATTACATGAATGTTATTCCCTTTTTCTTAATATTTGTTGTGTGTGTGTGGAGGTGTTTTCTCTGCATGTATGTCTGTGCACCACATTCTTGCAGAGCTTGAGGAGGCCAACAGAGGGCAACTCCCTGGAACTGGAGTTAGAGTTGTTAGCCACGATGTGGGAGCTAGGAATTGAACCCTGGTCCTCTGGAAGAGAAGCCAGTGCTCCTTTACCGTTAAGCCTTCTCTCTCACCCCACTGTTCCTTTTTCCTAACCCCAGATCTGTCTAGATAAAGTTCAGTATAAATGAGGACGGAAGCAGCTGAGACTCTTGTGTCTTCTGTTAGGCCAGGTATCAGGGAGAATTGAAGACAAGCAAAACTCTGCCACCTTTTAAATTCAACTTGTTTGAGAAAATATGCTCCCCCCACCATGTGTGTTTGTATATATGTGTGTATGCTTACTATGTGTGGAGGCCAGAGGTTGACTTCAGGGATTTTTCTCTGTCACTCTCTACCCAGTTTTTCAAGACAGGGTCTCTCATGGAGCCTGTAGCTAATTCACTGGCTTTTACCTTGGCATAATTTGTGTCATTCAGAAAATGTTGGTTCATGCAGTAATGTCCAAAGTTAAGTTTATCAATATCACCCCTGACATTTGAAGACTGTCAGTAACATGAAGCTGTTACACTGTTGGCAACATGTACAATTTTGCTGAAATTCCAGGTTTTGCTTGAGAGCTTAGATTTCATTGTTATCAATATATACTGTGCACCTTTTTTTCCCCTGAGAAAATATATGCTCAGTATCATGTTTGATGAGGTGTCCCTGTATATAAAGAAGAGGTATGGGCTGGAGAGATGGCTCAGAGGTTAAGAACACTGGCTGTTCTCCCAGAGGTCTTGAGTTCAATTCCCAGCAACCACATGGTGGCTCACAACCATCTATAATGAGATCTGGTGCCCTCTTCTGACCTGCAGTCATACATGCAGGAAGAACACTGTATACATAATAAATAAATCTTTAAAAAAAATAAAAATAAAGAAGAGGTGTGTGGAGGAAGTGCTAGGTCTGCTGGCCCCAGACTCACTGACGGCATTCTAAACGTTCTTTATGCCTCTTCTATTTCTTCACACAGATATAGGGAAATGCAGCCAAGGGTCAAAATTTAATAAAACCAGCAGCTTTTCCTATTTCATCAAGGACCTTTTCAGGTGAAATCAGAACCCTTCACCCTCCTCCCCCAGTGTGCCTGGTGGTGACGAACATGGAGCCTACTGGTATGGCTCGCTGAGACTTCCATTCTCTGAGGGACAGTTTACCCCCTCTTCTCTTGCACATTGGTACAAGTGACGTAGTGGAAGCGGCACATGCTGCCTTAGTGTTGTGTAAATAGCTGAGACCCTGGGAGAACTCTAGGGACTCTTCTGGGTGGTGCTGGCCCTGGCATAGTGTGGGTTGTGGCCAGCTGATCCATCTCTGTCTTTCTGTGCATTCAGGTCTTCACATGTGCTCTGTGGGTTTATTGCTGGCCTTGAGTCGGAGTTTATGGAGACGCTGTCAGATGAAGAAGTGCTTCTTTCTCTAACCGAAGTACTCCGAAGAATGACAGGTACTCCCCAGCCATATGTTCTTATTGGCCAGTCTCTAAAGAGTAAGTAAACCCAGAACGGAGAAGAATAGATTCTGCTCTGCACATTTCCAAGACAGCCTTTTTCCTCGGCAGTGGGCTAGTAACGGTTTGCAAACACTTGCTAGTTTTATTTTCTAAAATCTTCCACCCAAAACACATGCCGTTGTCCCTAGTCAGGTGCTTTCAGGTAGGGAAAGTGAGGCTCAGAAGAGCATGTCAGTTCACTTTCAGGAGGCATCTCATGGTGTTGCTTATTGGCACCAGCTGTCCCTGTGTGGTGCTGGAAGAGCAGCTGAGACAGGATGCCTTAGGAAAACACACACTGGCTTGGTTTTCTTCCAGGTTAGTGAGAGTTCTAGGTTAACATGCCACATCTCTGTGTTTCAGGAAACCCACAAATGCCAGCGGCCAAGAGTGTGCTGAGGTCTCGTTGGCACAGTGCCCCATACACCCGAGGTTCCTACAGCTATGTGGCTGTTGGCAGTACTGGCGATGACCTAGATCTGCTGGCTCAGCCCCTCCCTGCTGATGAAACTGGTACCCAGGTATAGTGGCCTGCCTTGGTGTGAGCCACTGGGGATCCTGCTGCTAAGGCCTAAACATGATGTGGTGTGAGTGATGGGTGGGGCAGTGATCTCAAAGACTCAGAGCCATTTTCTTTTTGAAAATAGAAGTAACGTAAAGTTGAATGTGCTGGCATATACTCATAATCTCAGCACTCAGGAGGCAGAGGCAGGAGGACTGTTTCGAGTCTACAGCCAGCCTGGTCTATAGAACAAGTTTTGGACTAGCCAAGGCTAGTAAGACAGTCTCAACAAATTCAGACCCAAATGAAAAATGTGTTATTCATATCAGAATCACACATACCCATGGTTTAAGGACTTTTACAGTGCTTGCTACAGAAATAAAATGAAACAAAGGTAGCTGGTAGGAATACCATCTTCTCCCCAGACTCTGCTTCTGGCTGTTTTAGTTCTTTTTCTTTGTGTTGGGGATGAAGCCCTGAGCATGCCAGGCAGGTACTCTGCCATTTACTGCCACTTCCCACAGCTCTCTGTCTGATTCTAATATTGAAAGCACATGTTCACACTGTCACTTTAAGACATTTAGCTGGGCATGGTGGCTCAAGCCTTTGTAATCCCAGCTAGAAAAGTCACCACAGGTTCTAGGCTAGCCCGGTATACAAAGTGAGAGTCAAGTCAAGCCAGCCAGAGCCACATAGTGAGACCCTGTTTCAGAACAATTTAATTATGGAAGTCATCAATTGTAGAGCAGTAGGTGCTCCACCCCCAGCAGTAGGTGCTCCACCCCCAGCTCCACCCCACGCACCCCAGGGTCTGCCCATTGTCCCTTAACTTATTGAGTATGCCGCCATTCAGATATCCCGGTGCGTATCTCTAAGACAGCTAATCAGTATCACCTGGTAGTCACTGTTCAGTTTTCAGGTGTCTCATGGTCCTTTTCAGCTTGCTGTTGCCATGTCACTTTTAGTTGTAGGCAGTGACTTCTCACCACTGTGTGGTGTATTTGGTTTAGCCCCACTCTCCCATGGTAGTTCAGCAACCCTTCTGATGATGGTTCAGGGCCCTACCACCTGGGCATCTCTTAGTACTCACACCTGCCTGGTGCGGGCAGTGATGTCTTCTGCACATTTGCAGATGGGTGGCCAGGGTCTCTGTTTTCGGTGTAGTTCTCCACAGCTGTCCTGCTCACATCCCTGTTCTAATTTGGTCTGTTTTCTGCAGCTCCAGATACTCTTCGCTGGGGAAGCCACACATCGGACATTTTATTCCACCACACACGGGGCCCTCCTGTCTGGCTGGAGGGAAGCTGATCGCCTCATTGGTCTGTGGGACTCACAGGTGCAGCAGCCCTGGCCCAGGCTGTGAGTGCCTGCTGCTCTGCTCTGCTCGTCATGGGGGCTGACCGAACTCCTCCGTCTGTTGGGTACATGATTTTCAGTCTGGTTTGAGCTTTGGGGATCTTACTGGTAGCTTTAATTTTGGGGAAGTGGTCTCATTTCTCATATCTGTGGTTGGAGTCTGGCTTGGTCTGATCATGGATGCCTCACAGTGTTGTTGCACACATAAAGCACTGAATACCGCCTGTGTCTAGAGTACTTCCCATGCTGCATCCAGTTCTCAGCCTGTTCCCACCCAAGTCCAGGTCCTGTCTGCCCCTTCTATTGCCAGTTCATGGCTTTCCCCTCTGGGTTCTTTGGGCCTTAGGTTCTGTGGTTACCCTTTGTTCTGTTTTTGAAGGTGTTTCCACTACTTTTGTCCAGTACCACAGTATGGCTAATGAACCTCCCTTTGATCGTTCAAAATGGATCTGTGTCAGGTATCCTAGAGGGGTGTGCTGAATGAACGTGTAGAACTGAGAAGACTGGGTAGGGCAGGGAAAGGCATCCTATCCTGGCCTGGCTTGGGGTTTTTTGGAGGTGAAGAAAAAAATTCTTTAGAGATTATTGGGGGAGCAGATTGACCAAGCACAGGGAGGTTATTGGGGAAACAGAATATGGAGGTGGGGTTAGGAAGGGTGCTGGGGAGCCACGAGTGTTGGAGTAGACATGGGGAGTGTGCTGGGGAGCTAGGCAGTGTTGGGTAGGTCTCTTGGATATTTGCAGTCTGTCTCACTGCATCTTCCCAGCAGTTCGAGGACAGGTCTCTTGCTCCCGCTTACAGAGGAGACAGAACACTTAGACTTGTTAACTCCCCGTGCGGCATCTGTCACAAGAGCTTGCACATCTCCTCTGGATGGTAGAGCTGGAGAGGCTGGTGCAGCCACTGGGGTGGTGCTCCAGAGGGAGCTATGGGAACTGCAGAGACCCTTGTCCCACCCTTGCACAGTTCAGTCCAGCTCTCTGCTTGGCTCCTTGTCCTTCAGGTCCAGGCTTGCCCTTACTCCACAAGTCTGTCAGGAAGCATGTTACATCATCAAGAGCACTTCCTGCTTTATGTCACCAGACTGTCCTTCATGGGATACCATGGAAGAAAGCCAGAATCCAGTGGGTTTTTAATTGTAGGCTATAGCCTGAGGATTGTGAAAGAATACAGATCCTTCAAGGGCAAAAGTCTTTGCTGTTGACATGGAGGGAGGCATTTCAGTTTTCAGAGACAGACCCAGGTGACTTTGTGGGAGAAACAGGCTTGCCAAGGAGGGAGCCAGGAGGATTTGAGCTGCTGGGGATGGGGCTCCTCCATGGTGGAGAACTGGCCTGACATTTCTCCTAGAGCTTTAAATTTAAAATGTGGCACATTCCCCGCCCCCTTTTTCTTTTGAGACAATATTTCACTCTGAAATATTTGAGACAATATTTCACTCTGAAAGTACAGGCTGGCCTTGGACTTTCTATTCTGCCTTAGTCTCACAAGTGCTGGAGTTCCAGTGTGTGTGTGTGTGTGTTACCAGGATTAAACCCAAGGCTTCCTGCATTCAAGGCAACGATTATAACATTGAGTTAAATGTCAGCCCTTTTGAGATAGGGCTCTTTTAAGGTAGCACCCTCAATCATTAGCTGGTATCACAGGCCTGTTCTAGGAGCAGTTATGTTTATATTTGGTCTTGTATCGATGAAGAACACTTCAGTTTCACTGTATTAATGGGATTGTAGTCAATACTTGGAACAGTTACATTAAAATGTGTCACACTTGAAAAGAAAATGAAGGCATTACATATATAAAGTGAAACATGTGAAAGTTCTAAGAAAGGCCCAAGAACTGATAGGGGACAACTAAATTTCATTACATTGATTTATATGAGGGAAAAAATAGGACTTTATTTTTTTAGAGAGGGTCTCATGTAGTCCAGACTGACCTTGAACATCTGACCTCCTGGCTTCCAGCTCTCATGTGCTAGGATTACTGGCGTGTCTATCATCCCTGGCAGAGACTTCTAATCTAAAGTTTTCTTTTTAGTTTTTGTAGAGCAGGCTACAAAGTGAGATATGGCCTTAAAAGGAAAAAAAGAAAAAAATGTGCCCAGATTTTAAAGTTTAAATTCCTAGGCTTGTCAGGCCAACTTCCCACTGTGGAGGAACCCCATCCCTACTGCCAGCAGCCCCAATCCTCCTGGCTTCTCCATAAAAACCTAGAATTTGGGGCATGCTAGGCAAGCTGTCAGTCCTATATCCTCAAACCTGAAGTATTTGAATGTAGTGAAAAATCTCCAGATTGGGACTGGAGAGACGGCTTGGAGGTTAAAAATGCTTGCTGCTATTACAGAGGACTCAAGTTCCGTTCCCAGCACCCAGTCAAACGACTCAAAACCACCTGCAATTCCAGGTCCCGAGGATCCACTGTCCTCTGGCCTCTCGGGGGACCTGAATACGTGTGGCATACACGGACACTTCAAATAAATATAAACAAAATTAAGTCTTGTTGCTGCTGTTTTTCCGGTCTCACCATGTATCTCTGGCTGACCTGGGATCCACTATGTAGACCAGGCTGGTCTCAAGCGCAGAGAGCCACTTGCCTGCCTTTGCCTCTCCCGTGCTGGAATAAAAGGTGTGCGCCACCACATCCGATGTAAAAACAAATATTACAAAAACGCAATAATGTCTCCTAATAAAAAAAAAAAATCTTCAAATTACTCAAAAGAACCTCACGTAACCTCAGGAATCCAGAGAATGGGACAGCACGGGACTACCTAGACACACGGGTCCCGCCCACCCTACGAGCTCCGACTCAAGCGCATGCGTAGTCGCGCACGGAACTCTAGCGCTCCGGAACTCTGAGAGCTGATTCAGGTTTTTGCGGTGTCGGTCCGTCAGGGAGCGCTTCCGACACCAGCGCTACCAGCACTATGAGGTTGTGGCCGCAGGCATGGGGTGCCGTCCGCGCCGCGTGGCGCGAGTGTTTCCCTCTGCAAGGTCACGACGTAGCACGCTGGTTCCCCGGCCACATGGCCAAGGGTGAGGCCAGCGGGAGGCGCGGGCGGCCAGGACGCTGGCTTTGGGGCCTCTTTGGTCGCCTTCCTGGCCTCGGGTTGGAGAGTTGTTCTGTGATCATTTGAATCGCACCGAGTGGTATGCGAAGGCACATGCAAGCCGTTACACCCGAGTAATGTCTGAGTTTAGAGGTCACAACGTGGCCCCAGACAGACACCTGGCATAGTGCGTCCCTGGGCTGCTGGTTGCTGTGGTCTTGCTACCGCTGCCATGCGAGCTGGTAGTGTGGCAGGAAGGCGCCGGGAGTGTGACCAGGCGGGTGGCTGTTGTGGGGCGGAGCCTCTGTGTTTTTATGTGTTGAGGTCATTAAGTCAGCAAAGTATCAAAGGCCTCCAGATCAATACCCAAGACCCTTATATGTGAAGGGTTCTGCTCAGAGCCATCTAGGGCACCCCAAGGCTCAGTATGCTGCTTTTTTAGCTCTGTGTGCCCTGATGGGTTTTCAGATGTATTTCCTTAGGAACACTTAAATCTGCCACCGTGGGCTATTTCCTTAGTGCCCTTCTACCTTCCAGGACTAAAGAAGATGCAGAGCAGTCTGAAGCTGGTTGATTGTGTTATCGAGGTTCATGATGCTCGGATATCCTTTCATGCAGTAGGAGAGCACTTCTGCTAGGCTGTAGAGGCAGCAGGAAGATTTCCTGCTCTTCTTCATCCATCTCTTTTGGGCAATCTAGTCTGTTCTGCCTCTGGTCCATTCATATGTCTACAGCTGCCAACAGCGTCTTTTGTAATTACTGACACCTAAAGGGGTGCTTTCTGACTCTAATTACACATCAGAATTACTGGGAGGCTTTTACATCAATCACTAGGCCTCCTTTTAAATCAGAATCCCTGGGATGGGGTCCAGGCTGTGTATTTTTATTTTTAAGTCCCCGTTTGATACATTATTTGTCTCAGCCTCTGTCTGGTTTACTTTGGTATTTTTAGGAATAAATTATGAAACCTGAGATTAAATGGTCCTGCCAACCTGGGCTTTTCTCCTGTCCTTAAGAATTGGCAAATCATTATCATGTCCATTGACACTTGCTTCTTGGACCATTTTGTTGCATTTGAGCTGTGTTTAGTTTCTGTGATGCAGTCGTTGGCATGCGAGTTCTTCCTCATCCTACTTACTCAGCCTGAGGAGAGCATGGGGATGCCAGGCAGAGGCCCAGGCCCTTGGAACAGCTGGTGGTGGGTGTGAGGCCCTGCTGCCACTGGTGGGAGTCTCTGGAAATAGTAGTGGAGTATGAGGGACTATTTCAGCTTTCAGAGTTGGGACTTTAGCAATACTACATCTAGTGTATTTGTTTTAGGCTATAAATATCTATTAATTCACCTAATATCACATACTGCCAGATGTGACTATTATTATTATTATTATTATTATTTTGAGACAGAGTCTTGCATTATAGCCTTGACTGGCCTGGACTCACTATGTAGACCAGGATGGCCTGGAACTCACATAGATCTGCTAGGTGGGATTAAAGGTGTGCACTTCCATTCCTGGCTATATTTGATTATTAAAAAAGTAAAACATGGTTATTTTTCAGCATAGATAATGAGAAGACTGTTCTCCCTTTAGTCTCTGGAACATTCAACTGTATCTAGGAGGTGGCAGCAAGTCTGTGCTGCACAGTGGTTTCTGTAGCATTTTAGGAGAGGAGCCTGGAGACTTGGGTTTATGAATGGATTGGTCAGCCATGAGAGGACTGTTTGGGTGGAGATAGCAGCTTACCCAGGTGCCCAAATGGGGAAGGTGGAGGCCTTGGGACTCTTGTACTAGATCCTACTGGGAGGGCTGAAGGGGCAGCCTATGTTAATGTCACATGATGTAGCCCCATATCTGCTGGGGTAGCTGAGGATATCTGGAAGAAGTGGCATCTTCAGAAGCCGGGATGGGTGGTGTTCAAGGTAATTCAGTTAGGATTTCACTGGAATCACATTTTAAGTGTTTAGGTCATTTTATTTTAAATTTAAATTCCTTGGCATCTAAACAGTGGCTTTTCTTTTTTTTTCAATTTATTCATTCTTTCTTTCTTTCTTTCTTTCTTTCTTTCTTTCTTTCTTTCTTTCTTTCTTTCTTCCTTCCTTCCTTCCTTCCTTCCTTCCTTCCTTCCTTCCTTCCTTCCTTCTTTCTTTCTTTCTTTTCTTTCTTTCTTTCTTATGTATACAG